CGCATAGTTTGTCTGAGAACAAAATATGTTCACTATGTTCACTGCAAAAGTGGAGATAAAAAGTGAAGAACAATAAAAATATGGATTTGGTGAACATTCACCATTTGAGAATTGAGAGGGTGGAATTTAGAATATGAAAAAATCAGGATGACATATATATTTTTTTAGTTTTTCCTTTAAATAAATATATAGTTGAGTGGAATTTGGACATGCGAAATTTGAAGTCTGGATAATGAAACCAGAAATTATGGTTATGTGAAAGATTTTGTTTTTGTTTTTTTAGTTTTCATTTTTAATAGATATTGACCTTGTTGGGGTTGTTTTTTCCCTTTCTCCTCTTGAGAGTTCCTTAGTGTTCTTATGGTTTTTTGTTTTTTGTGTTTCTAGAGTATTACCCTTTTGAGGTCGGTTCTAGGCGGTCTTCTGATCTGTCCTCCCATTTTATTCAGCTGTTGGCTGTTTGTATTCAACTTGTGGTTGTACTTTTTCACATTTGTGCGCTTTTATATAATATCTCTATCATTTCGAAAAGAAGGGACTTTATTATTAAATTGATTTTGTAGATTTTTCATTCTCTTTAAAATGTGTACCAACAAAGTAAGAAATGAATTTTAAATACTTCTAAGTTTGAACTTGAAATAGGATATATAAAAAATAAGTCTAAAATTGAAATATTTTACTGATATTATTGTTGATTGATGTTTATAGGTTGATTTTCTAATGGATGCCCACAAGAGAAAGAAGAAAACTATGCTCTCATTTTTTAAGCCCAAGCCGGCTACGAAGGACATTTCTCACTCTAATGCAGAAACTTCAATCCAAAATGAGTTTGAACACCAACATACGTCTAAGTACCAAAGGGTGGATGTTGATGTGAGCGACTATGTTGTTCTAAACCCGGCTGTGCGTACTCCAATATGGCAATGTCCTATAATTGAACGAGATGTGAATAGACGGTCGTATATCTTGAGGGGACTATATCAACCTATTATGGAGTTTTCGGGACCGAAAATTGGAGATCAATCTCGGTGCTTCCAAAAAAGTTGGTATCAACAATTTTCATAAATATAGTATTCTCCTAAAATAGATGTGATGTTTTGTTTTGTTCCCCTTCTTTCATTTTTTCAAGAAAAAGAAGCTTGTCATCCTACTTTTACAATTGAAGGATTTAAAGGTTGGAAAAGAGTTAATGATGGCAGAAGATGTGACTTTTTTTATTCACGTGCGAAGTCCTACATTATCACATAACGACGTGCAATCTATGAGCCTTTTGATGAATGCCAGTGGTCACATCAATAATGTGATGAATGCACAAACATCAGTAGAAGTGAAAAAAGATCGTTTGAGACTTACCACTACAATCGAAAGCATTCGTTGGCATTGTTTGCAAGGATGTGCACTAAGGGGACATGATGAATCATCGTCTTCAAAGAATCAAGGTAATCTTATTGAGCTAATAAAACTTATGGGAAAAATGGATGTCAATATAAAAAATGTTGTTTTAGAAAATGCGCCCAGAAATGCAAAGTATGCATCACCGGACATTCAAAAAGATATTTTGCATATTTTTGCTGAGAGAGTGAGGAGAAAGATTCATGAAGAGATCGGAAGTGCAAAATTTTGTCTTTTAGTTAATGAAGCTAAAGACATATCAGACAAAGAACAAATGACTATTGTGTTAAGATTTGCTGATTATGAAGGCTTCTTAAGGGAGCCTTCACAAGGGAGCGATTCTTTAATATTGTTCACGTAGCCGGTACCACTGCCTTGACACTTAAGAATAAAATTTCTAATGTGCTTGGTCGATATGAGTTGCATATCAATGATATTCGTGGTCAAGGATACAATGGTGCTAACAATATGCGTGGAACGTGGGAATGGTTTACAAGCACTTTTCTTAAGGGGCTCTCCACAAGCATATTATGTACATTGTTTTGCACATAAACTTTAATTGGCGTTAGTGGCAGCAACTGAAAAGGAGAGCTCCATTTGGCTATTTTTTTCAAAGTTGACTTCAATTTGTAATCTCATTAAAGCATCGCCAAAACGTCATAGCGAGTTACAATCCACCCAAGCTATTGAAATTGAGAATATGGTAGCCATTGGTATTTGGGACACGGGTAATAATTAAATTTTTTATTCTATTGTTTAATCACAATGAATTGTAATCACATTAAATTTTCATTTTACTTTTTGTTTATTCTATGGTAAATGGGTACAGGACTTAACCAAGATGGAACTTTGCAGCGAGTTGGAAAAACACGATGGAGTTCACGTTTTGAGTCCATTTGCAGTATGATAGTGATTATTGTGCTTGAGCATATGACGGAAGAAACATCTTCTAATTCTATACGTGGGGAAGCTACAAGTGCTTTAATTGCGATGAGATCATTTGATTTCATATTTATCTTATTTTTCATGCACAAGATTATGGCAATCACAAATTTGCTTTGTCAATCTTTGCAAGAGAAGTCTTTGGATATTTTAAATACAATGGATTTTGTGTCAACTACAAAATAATTGTTTTGTACCCTTAGAGAAGAAGGCTTCGATACTCTTCTCAAGTACATGTAAACTTTTTGTGAAGAAAATGGTATTGAGCCACCAAATATGAATGCTTGTCATCGATCTTCTAGAGGGCGTTCTTGCCAACAGAATTCTAACAGTAGAACATTATTATCACTATGATGTATCCAATGCCACGATAGATTTTCAATTGAAAGAGCTTCATAGCAGATTTAATGATACAGCTATAGAACTTATCTGGCTTAACTCTGCTTTGGTGCCTCGAGATAACTTTAAGTTGTTCAATTGCGATGACATTTATATTCTTGTCGAGAAATTCTATCCGAATGATTTTAGTGGGCAAGAGCTACATTACTTGAGGAGTCAGTTAGAGCATTATAAGTTTAAAGTTGTCTAGCATGAGAGGTTCCAAAATATTTAGACAATTTCTGATTTATGGCGACGGTTAGTAGAGACGGAAAAGGCAATACATTATCACTTATTTTACAGATTCATTCGCCTCGTTTTACTCTCTCCGTTTCTACTGAAACAACCGAACGATCATTTTCAGCTATGAAACTTCTCAAAACTCCTCTCTGAAATAAGATGGAAGAAAACTTCTTAGCGGATTCTATGAGTGTCTACATCGAAAGAGAGTTTATTTCAAATATCGACACAAATTCAATAATTGACGAGTTTTATAGTATGAAGAACCGGAGAACGCATCTTAAATAGGTAACCTTCTTTCTTTTCTTCTTCTTTTTTTTTTTTACCTTTTTAAATAGGTGTAATGAACATGAAGAATTTATATGCATTTCTCGAATAAAACTTATTTTTTATTTGTATTTATTAATTTTAGCACATAATTTAAATTATTTTTTTAATCAATCAGCTCAGGTATTTTTTTTTTCTCGACTACGCCCCTGATTGTTAGCATATTTTTTATATATACACTATAGGTATAATGTTGAAAATTAGCCCTTATACGTGTTTTAGATTTTTTGTTTAAGTAGCATATACAATTGTAGGTGTTTTATTGTTTTCATATTTTTTTAAATAGAATATAATATTATGGGTGTTTTTAAAAATAATATAGAGAATTTTAAGTGCTTTAGTAAAAAACGGTATATAAAATTGTAGGTGTCTGATAGAAAAATAGTATAGATAACATGAAGTGATTTCAACATGTATTCTTCATAAATAACATATACTAGTATAATACTGTGTATTACACGGGTGTTTGTTAAAAAATTATTTTTAAATTTTAAAATTAATGAGAAAAATAATTTAAATTTTATTTACTTTTTTACAAAAAATATATATTATTATATATTTTAGATGACACTTGTTACTTGTGCGACTTACATGTGTTATATTATAGTAATTTTTATAACTTATATCATATAACTACTTGAAATATAAATACATTAATTGATGAATAATTTTATTTTTCTAATTAATATTAAAAAAAAAATCATCATTGTATAAAGATAAATATAATTTTTTTATACTTACAATATGTATGTTAGATCAAAGCTCATCAAAAGATGATGAATTTGGTATATTATATATGTAAAATTGATAAAAAAATACAAAAGTAATTAACTTTTTTAATACATTTACAATTCAATGATTAAAATAAGAAATGATATTAAAATACAATTAATACATGTAACATGATAATAAATAATCAATATATTTATGGATAATCCGGAACTAATTATTTTTGGATTGAAATTAAATTAAAATCTACTAAGCCTAACGAATCATGTAATTTTGCCACATAAAATTCCGAAACATGCGAACCTACCATGAATCATGTAATTTTGTTATATAAGATCACGAAGCATGCGAACCTGCCTCTTAGGCTCAACACGATCTGAATATATATATAGGGATTATATTGTATTTATATGAAAACGAGGTTGAAAATATCACACAAACACTATCCAAATTTCCACGACAATGATGTTACTAAACACCGCACACTCTTTTACAAAACACCGCACCCAAAAATGACTATAATGCCCTTAGTAAAATATAATAATAAAAAATTCAATTTTTTATAATTTTTTTAAAAAATAAAAAAAGTAACAAAAATTAATGAACAAAAACAGAAACCAACACAAAAATTTCGGAAAAAAAATCTGATTGGCCAAAAAATAAAAAAAAAATTCTTAAAAAAAAACAAAAAACACAAAAAAATTCGAAATTTTTTTGAAAAAATCTGAAAAAATGTCGGGACAATCTTCACGCACCGGAAAGGGACTCTCCAATTCAAAAGTAATTTTTTATTATTTTTCTTTTACGATTTTAACGATTTTAACAAAAAAAAAAAAA